TTGCCTGCCCGCCCACCCATCTCAGGGCTCTCCTCCGTTTCCCCCCTGCAGGGGCCTCTCTGACTCCCCCTCAGCTACACGCACCCCCTGCTCTCCGGAGCGCACACTGTGCATCCTCTGCTCTCGTATTCCAAGTTTGCGTTCACTTCTCTCACCTGTGTTAATTATTTTTATCCTCATCACCCACGGGGCCTTGAACAAACCAGGCATTCTGTAAATACCTGTTGTGTTTACAATTAAATGAAACCATAGCCCTGGCCAGTTTTCTCAGTGGCTAGAGCATCGGCCCTAGGCCTGAAGGGTCATGGGTTTGGTTCCCCGTCAAGGGGATGTACCTCAGTTTTAGGCTCGATCCCTGGCCTTGGGGTGCATGCGGGAGGCAGCCAAACAGTGTGTCTCTCTCACATCAACGTTTCTCTCTTTGCCCCCTCCTTCCTCCCCTCCACTCTCTCTCTAAAAAAAAAAAAAAAATCAATGAAAAAAATATCCTTGGGTGAGGATTAAAAACAAAACAAACAAAAAAATGAAATACCTAGCCCAGCGTTCTTTTTCGTTTAGTCCTCACCCGAGGATAGTCTTCCATTGATTGTTAGGGAGAGTGGAAGAGGGAGGGAAAGACAGAGAAACATCGATGTGAGAGAAACACAGTGATTGATTGTCTCCTGCACGAGACCTGACCAGGGCCCGGGCCGGGGAGGAGCCTGCAACCAAGGTAGGTGCCCTTGACTGGAATTGAACTGGGACCCTTCGGTCTGCAGGCTGGTGCTCCATCCACTGAGCCAGACTGGCCAGGGCCCAGTGTTCGAACTGTAGGCAGCAGAGAAAGAATAAAATCGGGTCCTGGGGCCTCACTCGGCATCTGGACTGCCGGTCGGGGATTATTCACGCGTGTACAATCCGCCGCTCACCGCCCGTGGGTTTGGCTAGCTGGACTTGATTTCCCCTTTGCCACAGGCGTGGTAGAGGGTCCGGTAGACATGGCAGGGCTAGTTCAGAAAGGGCCTCATGCTGCTCGTCACTCTTTATTCGCAGGTGGACGCCAAGATGTCGCTTGTCACCGTGCCTTTTTACCAAAGGAGACACAAGCACTTCGACCAGTCGTATCGCAATATTCAGACGAGGTACCTTATGAACGAATATGCAGCAAAAATGTAAGTTGGAATTCACTGATTAGACCGGGGGTGGGGACCGTTTTTCTGCCAAGGGCCAGTGGGGCATTTACAACGTCACCCACGGGCCATACAAAACTATCCACTTAAAAACTACCTGCTCTCTTTGGTCAAGCATTGAATAAACTCGCCCCTCATGCCTTGGCAGGGCCAGGCCAAAGGCCGCTGCAGGCCTCATATGGCCCTCGGGCTGGGTGTTCCCCACCCCTGCCTTAGACGCATAGAACTTCGACTGTGGGCGACCCACAGTCAGAGGCAGGGAGCTTTACCTGGTCCCCTGGAGCCTGGAGTGACGTGACTGGGGAGGGTCAGGGGTGGCAAGGATCCCTGATGCCCTTCTTCAATGCCAGAGGCGAATGTGGCTGCTCAGCTGCTCAGGGAACTATGTGTGGAATGCTACATGGCATCCGGGTAGACCCTGGTAGAATTTGCTAGACCTGCTAGATCCTTGTAGGTCCTGATAGACCCTGGTAGCTCCTGGTAGATCCTGGTAGACCCTGGTGGACCCTAGTAGATCCCGGTAGATCCTGATGGATCCTGATGGACCCTCTAGATCCTGGTAGATCCTGGTGGACCCTGGTGTACTGACTCTGACCCCGGGTTAGATCAGGAGGGGTGGGGGCTTTTTAGGAAGTGCTCATTGATGTTATCCTTCTTCACGCATCTTCCAGAAGAGGAATTTAAGAAGCCACCAAAAAACAAGGGCAATGGGAGGGAAGACAATGGGAGGGAACGCTGCCAGTGGCAGAGAAATTATGGGATGGCAGAGGAACCATGGGTGGAAACTTGCTGCATGAATAGTAAATGTAACAAGGAGTGAAGTGACTCTGAGTCACAGGCGGGGGGTCAAGCCCCAGTGTCCTCTGGGAGTTTCTGAAGACCAGCATCCTCAGGGGCCTGCAGCTCCCGCCCATGGACAGCACATCGGCAGCTCCAGGGCACCGATGGGAAGGTTGGGCTGCTGGCCGATGGGCTCAGCCTTGGGTTCCTGCGTGTCACCAGCACCCTATATTTAGAAATGCCTGGGGTCTGTGGGTCCAGTTGCCGTCCCCGTAACAAACAAAGGCAAACACTCCCAGCCCCTCCCAACCGCCGCGGGAGCCTCAGATGCCTTCGGATATATATACTCCTGGTGCTGGGCCAGAGTGTGGCACAGGCTGACACAGCGCAGGGGTGGGGGAGGAGCTCCGTGTGACAGTGTCCCTCTGAGTGCGGAGAGCCGGGTGCAGAAGGATGTAGGTGTGTGTGCATGCATAGTGTACGTGCACTTGTATGTGCACATGTGGATGTGTGTACACACACACACTGTGTAGGCCTGTGTGCGCATGTTTGCGTGCACCTGCGAGGGTGCATGCATGTACACACATGAGAACGCACACATGCGTACACATTTGCATAACGTCATGCACAAAGGTAATGTATCCATAAGCATGCACACGCATGATCCTGCATGTGTGTGCACTGTGTGTATAGGTGTGCGTGCATGTGTGTATAGAAAGAACAGTTTTCTAACACCCCCCACTTTCTCGCGTTCATCAAGGCGCTCGTCCTCCCGGTCGTCCTCCCAGTCGTCCTCCCAGCAGTCTCTCACCGAGAAGTCGTCTTCCCAGCGTGCTGCCAGCCAGCAGCTGCTGCCACAGGGCACGGTCTGCAGGCTCTGCGCCAAGAGGCTGAGCTCCGAGGAGGAGGAGAGCGAGCATGAGAACAAGAGAAGGTACGCCCTGGTCCCCTCAGGCCGCCTGGGTCACAGGTCGCAGCCCTCCCACCGGCCCCGGGACAGGGCGGGAGAGAGCGCAGGATGGGCTGACAGGAGCCTGGAGGACAGGCGGGCGGCAAGTGAAGTCAGAGCCATACGGTCCAGTGTTCCTCTCGGCCCTGAGACCCAGAGTCCACGCCCCACGCCCTGCGCCCCATGCCCCATGCATGGTGCCTCTGGCTTTGGTCTCGGGTCTGTGGCCCACCGGGCACTCGGCCTCGCCACGCATGTCAGGAGGGGCACACCTGACGGCAGCAGCACTGAGGGTGTGAGGTTGATTTTGAGTTTCCACCACCAGCCTCTTAGCTTGTGAATCGTTCCGGTCAGGGTTGGGGACTGAAGCAAGTCAGTTTTTCACAGCCTGCAGGGTTCCACCCGCATTGGGGGCAGGGGGGAAGGAGGGGACAGCGGGCAGGGTTCCACCCAGGTGAGGGGCGGGGAAGGAGGGGACAGCGGGC